CGAAATCGTACATTTTAATGGCATGTGGCTAATAGAAGCAGTGACATAAGTGGATATTTATCAGATATGTTGCGTCCGATGTGGGGCAATATCATATTCAATCCCGTGAATGAGACTGGAAGAATAAAGCATTGAGAGGAACAAATGTAATAAAAATCAGGATGTTGCACGAGTTTGGTTAATACCTGTACTTGAACACTTATCTACATGCAATTGGAGTAAAAGTATTTCAGTAATCATGTTCATATCGTGTGAACGTTTTTTTGACAAAATTATCTGACTCCCGACAGGCGCATAGTTCTTTTCCATCATTTTCTGAGTTATGCGTGCTGATCTGTTTGCTCATTCCCTGCACATTTAACGTGCCGCTAAAGAGGCTTTTATTATGAATAGTTTAAAGCATCTATTAACCAGATGGAAATATTTGTGATGACCGAGAATGGGCATTGGATAGCTGTTTCATCCTATTTAGGGGGAACTCGTCAGGAGTTCGTACCTCTCGTGTTCTTGTCCGGACTCGAATCACGGACATTCGGGTTCGGATTTCAAACCCTTACCCCTGAGCTACACGGTCCAAGTATAAGTATAAGTTTGGATTAACCCAAACTTGATGCTGTAAGTTTAAAATACTGTCTGCACACAGTCCAGTGCAAAACACATGCAAAGTGACTCCCAAGTGTCGTGTGTATCGTACAATGTAATTGTTGTATGGAATAAAAAGAAGCGAGAATAATTGCACAGACACAGCGCTGTGATTATGGAGCGGGCGCGAACATTTATTATTCTGTCCCAGTTATCTTTGGGTCATCCTCAGTTTTGGGAAACGATGGATGTTTTCGCAACCCGCCAAGGTCATGCACACACGCAGAGAACGGGCGAGCTGCGAAGCGCCCCGACCCGGGGACTGATTTACTCTCCGGCACCGGTTGCAAACCAGAAGGGGGAAACCAAAGGGAAGAACAACCAAAAATGAGCACACACACACACAAACTCACTTCCGATGCATACGTTTCCGGTAGTATGGAACAGACGTGTTTGGCCATTTTTTTGATCTCATCCTCCGTGTTATTTTGCATTAACTCGTTGTATATGACGTGGACAATGGTTTTGCACACGGAACAATATTTCAAGCCACGTGGTGCAACAATCGGAGTGGCCGGAATCTGTTTTAGTGACAGTCGAAATGTTCGATTAGGGGGACAAGTGAAATGGAAGTGTTACGCTGTCCAGAACAATTTTCTAACCAATACAGCACACGAAAGTTGAACGAAAATTTACTCACTACGACTGACCGTTCGATTTCGGGAACTGGAAATCGAAGGTCGGAAATACGGGGCGATTCACGAGACCACAGAGTATGGAAAGAGAGAGAGAGAAAGAAAGAAAGAACACTAGATACGGTGTTGAACTGCAGTACTGCAGTAGAGCTGTTTACCACCAGAACACCGGGTCTGGAGACACGGGTTGTGTCACGAATTGTGATGGAATTCCGTGCTGGTGATTATCCCGTCGAGGTGGTGGTGGTTTTCTATATGTGATAAATTGTCCCTTTCTGTGCCCTAGTTTGAACGTGTTTCTACTGCTGAACGTAGGTAATTGACTAACTAATTCAGAAAAATTATCCACATATCACTCAAACACACATCCAAACAATTTCTATGGACACAAACATTTATTTACTTATTCTACTTTACTGCGGTTGGCTCCTTGGAAAGGAAAAGCCATGATCATGAAGTTTCTTGGGAGTTTGGTATGAGAGACGTCCCTAGCGTCACTGGGCCTTTCTATTTTGAGGGCATATCTCTGACCTTTGCATAACCAAGTGCGAACTGTAAGGCAGCAGAAAGTGATCCCTCACCGCTCGGAAGTGGGGGAGGGTGTCAATGATTTTGATTTTAAAAGGTCACTCACATCGATCTTTGTTACGAAACCGTCATTGGGCTTATGCGGTTTTTATTAAACAGGATCCAGGTGATCAGCCTAAAACCCACCACATCCTGGCAGTGCCACCACTGTTTGTTTCGGTGTGCCACAACTTATTCACAGTTAACTGTTCTTCGATGAAGGTATCCCCCCCCCCTATCCACAACCGGGGGACACGTCTGGTAGTATTCAGGTCTGATTAACCCCGAGGGTATCCTGAAACAAACGTGCTCTGTTCAATAAAAGTTTCAGCTTATCCGATGGCACAGTGCACTTTTATTCACCTCTGCAGGAGAACGTAACCTAGAGAGGTTTTATCACACACAATTGAAGTGACGAGAGCAACAAAGATGACGTTCGAATGTGAATCAATTTATCTAGTCCGACTGGTTTGCAAGTGATTACTACTCATAACGCGAAATAACTTCAAGCAATATCAGCACCATGATATAGCAAGCGAATGTCACCGATTGCCGCCAAGCCCACAGAGCATAATACAATCTGACTGTGCATACACATCTTATCAAGCATTCTGGCCTGGCGAGAAGTAACAAAAAGACGTCTGGAAAACGAAAGACACCTAATCTACATTTCGGGATCGGTATCACGAACGCAAATCTTTTTTTCGATCGCATGATCACGGTTATCGATTATTAACAACCAGTTGAGATGTAATACATAAACAATTATTTTGATTACACATAAAAAGATTTACAGTACAAGGAGTAAACCTCATGTGAAGTTTACACATGAGATTCTTATCGACTCCCAAACATCCGCTACACGCAGATCTAACTTCTTGTTGTTCCCATCCTTCAAATAGATCACAATTCGAGTGTTCCATAATTTCACAGTCCTCGGGAAAAAGGGAGGTTGAACGATAGAAATTCGACATCTGGGGACAGAAACTTGATAAGGGTGACTGCCCGCCTGAGAACGAGATGGACAAGAAAAGGCCAATGAAACGGGAACCGCTGAAGCCAGTTTAAAAGGGCAGAAACCAAAATAGGAACGAAGCAACTGCCCGATGATGGGAAAGCGATTGCAGGTTGGAAGGTAAAGACGGTTCATCGATCAGCCGGATGACTTTACGTTGAGCACAGTCGAGAAGACAAATAGCGGAATACGAAGCTCCATTCCATACGTGATTGCAGTATTTGAGCTTTGTATAAAAGGTGCTTAGGTATAAAGAAACGCTTTGCCCGGAATAGAAAACCGACTTTGCGCGCAGCGTGAGAGACAAGTGTAGAAATCAAAAGGGACTAACAGAGAGAAGAATTTATGGATAAAACTAGGAGGGAGAGAGAATTTGTGAAACGAAGGAGCAGGGTGGTGGTGACGCACTGGTTCAATCGCTATCACCAGCGGGCTTTGGACCCCACGGTTCGAGCCCTGCCACCGAAACACGACTTTGGTGGTAGTCAGCTTTGCTGTCACCCGGTTCTATACCATGCCTGGACTAGCAGTTACTATTACTGAACAGCAAGACTTCGTGACTATGGGGTTCGCCTCGACTGTTGTTCATCACACACTGATGCGTAATAAAAAAAAATAGAGTCAAAAATCAAGTTATTGCCAAGCCACTCAAAAATGTTTCATGAATCCTGTGCTCTTCACAGTGAACAGAATGGAACAATAACCATTACACGAAGGACAATCAAATTTATAATAATAAATCGCGACGTACTTGAAGTGTTTGCATAAATGGTCCAGTACAGAGACCCATTGTATTACAGGCCAGTTTCGGAGCCGTTCCCTTGATAATGGCTTCCACAATTTGGGCACCGAAATTTTCGATAAAGTTGTCACATCGTTTCTTATAGTATTGGGGAACGAACAAGCAAATCTGTACGGCCATCGGAGATACGGCCAGAGAGAGAGAGAGAAAAGAAGTACAGATACAGAAAAAAAATGAGGAAACTCACAACAACCGATAGATTTAATTGCATTACGAATGCGATAAGAGTGACTCTCATGGAAAGCCTGGAGTAGAACTGGACTTGTAGTCAGTGGTAACGGGTAGAAAAATGATCATAATGTCCAGGATGATTATGTTTTAAGAAACGTGAACTGAAAAGTTAGGAGGCACAGTACAGCTGTTTCGATCTGGTTGGGTCACAAATCTTATCCTGCACTACTCTCAGGCAACAAGTAGCGAGATTGTGAAAGTTTCCAACCGAATCATAACCCTGGAGGTTAGTGCTGAGATGAGC